AAACCCTTTTTACTAATCCTTGGGCCCACAGGTTGAATATGGAGCCAGAAAATGGAATGAAAACCTTTAGATTTATTCTGATTTGAGAAAATAGGGACAGCTACTCGATGTTCTTCTAGAATACCTTTGGACCAAAACCTGGTTTCAGGTTTGCTGAGGGAGTGTTAAACCCTCTTGAAGGGTTTTTCTTATTATGCTTTTTTCAGTTTAATTGGGGAGAAACTGATCTGCTCTTTGGGACTATGCACGTCATATTTACAGAGTGACTTATCAGGAGAGTATTATTTGGGATCAATTAAAAGTCCCCTCAAAAAAGATGTCTTAGGATAAATGGTTGGAATGGGTCTCCGGAAAGATCCCTTTCTGTAATTTACTGTTTCGTTCCTTTATGGAATTCATAATAACAGTCATAAGATTAATAATAATAGAGTAAAACCTCAATTATTAGACATTATAAAGGAATGGATAAAGCATTGCTACTAATTTCAGGTTCTAAGCAACATTAAATCTTTCTAAGTGATAAATATGTTTAATAAAAATATGTTGAATGAAAATCTAAGATTTATTGTACATTTCTTGCATCCTTAAACAGTTTAAGATGTTTTAATGAAAAAATCAATATGAAGGGCATTTTACCTTGTACTAAAGATTATTTTAAGACTGTTCAAGGTTTGCCTACAAGCATCAATCATAAGTGGCTTCCTGCCACTGTTCCTTCAAGCTCCCGGTCCACTCTTGCTGCTGTAATCATGCCTTTTATAGGCCTTCCCTCCATGGGCACCTTGTTGCTTTAACTCATTTGGGTTGGGTTGTCTTTAGTTCTGTGCCATGAGTTAGTAGGACACTTGATTGAAGTTGTGAGGATCATGTTTAAAACAAATGTAAATAGACTTTAGGTAAGGCATGTTCTTTAAGGTTTGGCCTTCTTGCTTCTCCCCCTCCTAATGCCTTCTGGTGCATGCATTTATATAATTAATTTTGAAAACATTTTCCATATAGTTGGTGTTGCAGGCCAGACATTTGGGTGAATATTACTGAATGAACTTGGATACATGATATTTTCCTTTTGAAAATCTCAGAACCTTTCCTCCTCCATTTCTGCCTCAGGAAAGAGATAGAAATGGAGAAAGAATTGAACTTTGAAATCTAATTATTTTGTTTTGTTAGCTATTTTATTATAAGCTTATTTTAAATATTATAATCTTTTTTTGAGGGTGCTATCTTTTAAAAAATATTTATTAAATTTTTTTAAATTAAAGTATAGTAGACATACAATACTGAGTTTCAGGAGCATGCCACAGTCATTGAACATTTATATAGCTTACAAAGGGGTCACCGCAATAAATCTAGTAGCCATCTGTCACTGTACAAGGCTATTATACTACTGACTATATTATTTATGCTGAATATTACATCCCTGTGACTCACTAGTATTTATTTATAACTGGAAATTTAAACCTCTATTTTTCTTCACCTTTTCCACCAATCATCCCACTTCCCTCCTCTCTATAAATAGCATCATATTGAGTGTACTTTTATCTAGGTACACATTTTAAAAACTCAATTATTGAGTAAAAATTGTATCATATCTGACACATATGATGAATAAATATGTTAACTGAATGAAAAAAAGGATGAACTGTATCTGTTCAGCCTTATTGTTTTCTAGTTAATTAGTAACAACAAAGACACTGGCGACAATTACAAAATGTCCAAGGGGAGATAAGACAAGCACCCAGTTTTCCTGCAATTTTTGCACTCATTTTAAACAGAATATTTAAATTTGGTTCTTAGGGGCAATAAGTAGTTAAGGGAAGAACATTCTTAGTCATCATAATTCTCTTACAGTCTATTATAGTTCCATATTTGGGAGTAAATGAGTATTCTGAGATGCATTATTGTTATTTTAGTGAGTATTCTATGCAAATGGGTATGTGTGCATATATGTATGTGTTACGTAGAAGTAAGCGTTTTTATACAGTATTCAAAGTCTTCCTGTGCACACACAACACTGCTCCTCTGTCTGTGGTGCTCCTCCGCCCCACAAAGCTACTCACTTTCTCCCTTTTTAAAAAATTTAGTGGCGCTTTATTTTATGTTCTTATCGTTTCTATGCTTAAGACACATAAAAATATTTTAAAATCATCATTTCCCTACCATTGTAGAAATTGTCACCCAGTGTCCCCCCTCCAAGGGTGATTGATGTTCAGGGAGTGCAAGTGAACCTGTTTTAAGTGGATTTAATATGCAACTTTGTGATCTGTGCCCAGCAAGTATTTTTAATGTACAAATTATATGGGGGTATATATATATATATATATATATATATATATGCAGTGGGGCTTTGACTTACGAGTTTAATTCGTTCCGTGATGGAGCTCGTAACTCAAATTACTCGTATGTCAAATCAAAAAGTGAACGAGTGAGACACGTGATGCTGGGCTGATGTTGTGGCGTTCACTGTGACGTTCGTTGCGCCAACTAGCGGTGGGGTATCTGAAGCTGGCTCGTAGCCCGAATTTTAGCTCGCAACTCAAAGCAAAAAATCGGCCTAGAGACAGCTCGTATCTCGAAAAACTCGTTAGTCGGGACACTCGTAAGTCAAGGCCCTACTATATGTATGTATGTCTATATATATATACATATATAAATAAAACCAGCTTTTAGGAGACTTTTAATAGATCATGTTAGAAAGAAGTTAGATGGCCTTAGGTTTTTTGGGTACGTATACTTTTGTGGATTCACCACATGATTATTTATAAATCTGGCCCTTTTTGATGGGTCTGTTAATATTTAAAGAACATTAAGAAAGGAAATTGACTTTTTCTTTAAGAATGAAATTTATCTTATTTGGTCATCATTTTTATATACTTAAGTATAGAGAAGGATGTATATGTTTGAGTGTGTACACACACATGCATACATATACTTTCTCTCAGATTGACTTTGCCTGTATGGCACCTTTTGAAAAGTTGATCAATCGATTAGTTTAAAAAATGTGCATATCTTTTCAACAGGAAGAATTTCAGTTTCTTTTTTCTTCCAGAAGAATTGGCAGTGGATTCTTGATTTGAGCCACTGGAAAACTACTCCCAGTATTTTGTCATGAGCACTGGATTTCGATGTCAGAAAGCAGGTTCTAGATTAGAACTTGTCAAGTTTTGGGAAATCGTGTGACTCGTCCACTCAGCGTGGATCAAGGAACTCAGGACCAATAAAGTTGGCATTTATTCCTAGCTCTACCTCACCTGTGCTGGTGACTTTGGGTGAATCGTTTCATCTTTTCTCTATAACACAGAGATCCTTACTCCTGTCCTTGTGGGGGACAGTTGGTAGTGTTTGGGTGTGTTTTTGTCATAATCACTGGGAGTTACTTCCTTTTGGACCAGCAGACACTAGGGATGCCATCTGCTCTGCAGCGTGAGAAACAGCCGCACAGGAAGAAGGCTGGTCCAGTGTACACATCAGGAATGCTCTCTAGAGCAGCGGTTCTCAACCTGTGGGTCGCGACCTCTTTGAGGGTCGAATGACCCTTTCACAGGGGTCGCCTAAGACCATCGGAAAACACATATATAATTACATATTGCTTTTGTGATTAATCACTATGCTTTAATTGTGTTCAATTAGTAACAATGAAATTGGGGGCCAGCACAACATGAGGAGCTGTATTAAAGGGTCGCGGCATTAGGAAGGTTGAGAACTACTGCTCTAGAGAGACACTGAGGAGACCATGGTGAGACCCCATGCAGCTGTGCACGGGGAAGCACCTGGAAGAGCTGACACCTGCTCACAAGGAGATGCTGTCCCACTTTCTACCTGGTTGATAAACTTCTCCTTTGCTCACACGGCATTTTAGGACAGGACCTACCCTTTTAATGTCATTATCAACATTTACATAACATTTACTGTATGTATTCTTTTCAAAGAGAAACTTGAATATTATGTGGTCTTCCCTTTTGAGGACGGTTCTGTTTTCTATTAATATCACTGGAGTGTCATCGTTTTTGTTTATTTTTGGCTGTAAGAAGAATATTTCCAGGAGGATAAAAGGTATATTAAACATGTCAAATGTGACAGATGACATTTTTGGCGGAAGGCAGTTTACAAAGCTGTTTCCTGCATTGAGACCAGTTGTGAATGAGCCCCTTCCTGTTTCCGAAGGTCCCAGGGTCTCGGAAGGAGGAGGGCTGGATTGTACTGCTTTGCTTCTCTTCTTCCCTGATCTCGGTTCCTGTCAATTGTTTCCTTCCTCCTTCTGTCCCTCTTTGGCTAAGAATGGAGAGTGGTTCTGGGGGAGATATTTCCTGTGACAGTTGCCAGAGTTTTTAAGATCGTACAGACATTAAAGGGGCAGAAGAGGATTTGGTACATTTCTCTATGATTTCATTAAATTGTTGATAATGCTCTGAGTTTTGAAGGAGGTAATATTTAGGTAGTTTGGATAAAAATCTTGGAAGGGATATACATATTATATGATACTTTATTTCTTAAAAGTTATTAATCCATTAGTAGTTTATTTCTTTCATTACTTAGAAGCTAGGGCTTTATGTACATGGTGTTGAGTCTAAGCCAGGGATGGGCAAACTTTTTGACTCGAGGGCCACAATGGGTTCTTAAACTGGACCGGAGGGCCGGAACAAAAGCATGGATGGAGTGTTTGTGTGAACTAATATAAATTCAAAGTAAACATCATTACATAGAAGGGTACGGTCTTTTTTTTTTTTTTTTTTTTTTTTTTTTTTTTTTTTTTTTAGTTTTATTCATTTCCAACAGCGCAGGCCATAGTTTGCCCACGGCTGGTCTAAGTGGACTCTTTTGTTTCCAAAATCTGTATTTTTTGTAACGTGTTTTGAGAATTTAAGTTGAAACTAGGTTTGAAATGAAATTACTATGAAATTGTCAGTACTATGAAATTACTGGAGACATAACTCAGTGAAAAGAGGTATTTGATTAAGTGTTTTCTTACATAATGACATGTACATCATTTCATTCTTAAACAGACACAAAGCACGGAGGACACAAGAATGGAAGGAAAGGAGTGCTTTCCGGAAGTTCATTCTTCACTTGGTTTATGGTCATTGCACTGCTGGGGGTCTGGACATCCGTTGCTGTCATCTGGTTTGAACTTGTTGATTATGAGGAAGTTTTAGGTAAGAATTTTGATATCATTTCTTATGTGAATTTGTCAGAGTGTAAATGACATCCCTTAGTAATTGTAAAGATTTATCAGCTTCTTTTCCTAATGTTAATTTCTGTAGCCTTTCAGTTGCGCTCAGTAGAAAAAAGGATGTTATCAGCTTCTTTGAACATGATCCATAGTTTTAAAAAAAGGCTTTAGATTGTACATATATCACATAGGAAAGTCTTATCCAACAGTAGTTACTCTCACTACAAGCAGTACTCTATAATTTCTATTCTATTTTGTAATATTATGAATTTTAAAAATACTGGTATGAGCCACTGAATTTACTTAAGGATCCATTAATGGATCATAAAAATATAATTCACAAGACCTTGCCTTAGAGAGCATTTGTCTTTGTTGTGGAAGTGTGTGTGTGAGTGTGTGCGCGCGCAGCTATGGTCATTGTGCTGTTTTGAGGAAGTTGCCATATTGTTTCTGATAGTTGTCCTTCCTTCCCCTCCTTTTTCTCTCCCCCCACCCCCAATGACTGCAGTTTTTCATGATTGTTTGCATTAATGATTCTTTGTCATTTTGGAATCATACTTTTTTTTTTAACCTCACCAAGTCTTTTTGTTAAACTTCAAATGAAATTCATGTAACAACATTCAATATCATAAATATTGAAAATCAACAGTTCACTGACTTTTAATATATTCATCATTTTGTGCTATCCTCATCATTATCGATTTCCAGAATAATTCCATCACCCCTCCCCCCAAACACCCGATTGCCCACGCCTTTTCTCTCCTGGCAAATGCCAATACACTGTCTGTGGGTTTGCCTATTCTGGACAGTTCATATAAATGGAATCATACAGTATGTGGCTTTCTGTGTCTGCCTTTTGCACTTGGCATAATGTTCTCAAGGTTTGATACTCCATTTTTATGGCTGAATAATATTCCATTGTATGGATGCACCACATCTTGCTTTCCCATTCATCAGTGATGGACGGTAGAACTGTTTCCACTTTCTGACTGTTGTGAATAAATGTCCTTCCTCTTTAAATGCTCAGGGAAAGATGTGGACCCTGTCATTGAACAAAATCCACACTTGTCTGCATGCACAGTGTTGTGTGCAAAATCCCCTCCCTTGCCTCGACCCTCTTGTACTGCTTTACTTATTAGATTATAACCATTTTTCTGGGGGCATAAAGGCAAAGAATAACCAAACATTCTTACATGCAATCTGCCTTTCATTGAAGCAATTTCTGGATAAATTGATGGACTAACAGAGGAAGTATTTTAGTGTACAGACAACGTTCTGTCTAATCTGTGCTTTTGTTGACTTCAGAAAACAAAGTATTCCAAACTATAAGCATATGTTGCTAGAGTAGAGGAAGTCTGTTACAAAAGAAGAGATTGCAGATATTTGTACAATGAGCACAAGTAACAATTTCTGTGTTTTTACATGCATGCAGCCAAAGCAAAGGACTTCCGTTATAACTTATCAGAGGTGCTTCAAGGTAGGCTATTGGAGATGCATTTTCAGTCCACTTGTGTTGGTCTCTAAAATCTCATCCTTATTCTGCTAGTTCAGTTATCACCTGCATCAGAGAATGTAAGTGGTGCCGGGGCTGACCAGCAGACCCTGAATGACAGATGAATGGATTACTTTGACACATTTGCTGTGAAAGAGAGGGTTAAGGGACTGCCTGGCTAAAGGAACCACACAGCCTTGATTGCCTGCCTCGTTAGGCTTTTATTGTAGCAGCAGTATGAAATAAAGTTTAAGACATAATCAGTAGGGTAAATAATAATCTTGGGAGGGCACATGTGTTTGTAGTGTCCTTTAAGCAAGGATACCCAAAGATTTAAGCATAAGGATTCCAGTAAACACCCGGGGGGTCTGCATGTGCACAGACTTGTTTGGAACGGTCAAGGAATAATAATTAGGGGCACCGCCTTCGACACTCTCCTAAGCCTCTCCTAAGTTGGAATTCCGATAAACAGGGCAGACGGCCTTCGGCACGCTTCCCGTTTCTCAGAATGTCCTTCTTACAAACTTTCCAACCAAGTCTCATGTGCTCCCCAACAAAGGACCAATTTCTCTTTTTAAGGTCATTAGAAATGAAAATACTTTTCAGTTTCTAATGTTTGAGCTCTGTGCTATATGTAGCCTCGACCTGCAGATCAGCGCTTTTCATTTTCTTAGCTTATAGAATTCATAGCTCTCCTTTATTATACTTGTCATTTTTAATGTGTGTGCTGTTTAAATCAGACTTACATAGCAAGCTTACTATTTTCCTGAGTAGAACAAGGGCTCTGGGAGGGTAAAGATTGGCCATAGCTGCCCTACTCCAAAAGTTCTGCCTGTTCTTATGCTATGCTTTAATCTACTTTTTATTAAAGAAATGGTAACAGTGCTGCCCACTGCTTTTTTAGTGTTCATGCTGTATTTGAGAGTGTTGTTTAAAATATTGCTGTACATTATTATATCTTTTCATAACCACTGTCCAGTGGTGAATTATCAATCATGTTGATTGTAGGATGTTTTTTAAAGAATTAAATGTATTTAACCCATATTTGAAATGGTAATTAGGTATAACAGTGCTCCTAGATGATAAAGCTTTAGTAAAGTCTTAAAATGCATATTTACTGTTCTTGATGAGGAAAAGGCTCTGGTAGTATTGTATTCTCAGATTTTCTGTTTTAAGCTTTTTTTTTCTTCTTAGTATTAGATGGCCAGTGCTAATTAAGTTTTAAAGTAGGATAACGGTAAGGTTTCTTTGTGATTTCAGGAAGCCAGTTTTACATGCTTTATTTTCAGAGGTCTTTTTAAAGAAGATTGATTCATGATATTTCTGTTGTAAGTGATTATAGTAAAATATAAAAGTAATTGTCCTCTTATTTTGAGTACTTATAATTGATGTGAATTACATTTAATCTGTATTTGAGGCTTGGTGTTTGTTCCTTTTGTTTTGAAAATTGATGGTGGAAGTTCATAATTTGGGAACATTAAATTTCATGTGATTGTTAGAAATGGATCAATATTATTCCTTATGTATGTTGAAATCTTTACCTAAAATATTTGTAGCAGTCTTAATTTGTAAAAATTCTGAAATGATTACATCAGGGTATTATTGTGAAACCTTTAAGGAAAAGATGATCTCAGTTACATGTTGTAGATTTGTTAGGCAAATATTTCCTGAATCTCTAAGTGAATTGCCCATCATTTTTAGATAAGATGTTAATTTAGCACTGCTTTTCAGGATTAAAAGAGCAAAGAATTGCATTGATTGGTAGCATTAATGGTTGATGTGGAGGACTGCAATAGTGGTGATATTACCTTATTAAGATTGTTTTTCCTTTTGTTCCCATATCCATTTTTCTTCCCTTCTTGTAGGAAAACTAGGAGTCTATGATGCTGATGGTGATGGAGATTTTGATGTGGAAGATGCCAAAGTTTTATTAGGCAAGTAGACATTTACTTTTCGTTAGTGTTGGTAAAATACTGGGAAGAAAAGAATACTTTTGCCTTTATGATATCTATGTCAATTGTATACATTTTATGGAAGATATTTTCCCACTTAAATCATATATTTCACTATTGCTGAAATGTTAAAAGGTTTAATTATTTTTTCATGGACTCACGTTTTTATTTACTTTTATAAATGGTTAGCATATAGCTCTTATAGATATACTTTTAATAAGTATAATAACTTGATATTTTTTTCAGGTTTAAAACACTTTATATTCTGAACTTACCATATATATATATATATATATATATATATATATATATATGTATATATATATATATGGTGTTAGTCTGTTTTCAAATATGGTAATTACAGCATTTTTTAGCACCATTTGACATAATCCACTCCCATTTGAAAATATAAACTTTTAAAGATTACATAAATTCATTTTGAAATAAAAACATAATAGTAAACATCTTAAAATGTGCTGTGCATATTTTAAAGATATGATCTGGTGATTTTTGGCCAGGTTTCATTATTTTGGAAGTCTTGAGCCCTGCTTTTTCTATCACCAGAATTACCTGTCTTTATCATAGACATGTTCCTCTAATAGATAAATAAGTGATATTCTCTCATTTGTTTTAAAATGCTGTTTTATTAGAAAGAATGGAACTGGTTTAATATGCAAATTTTCTATAATCTGGCCTGGGAAATATATATATTAAGCTGCATCATTTCCTTTCTTTAGACCCAATTTTATATATGTTTCATGGGCATGAAAAAAATGGGAGGATACCACATCTGTAACTAGTGAAACTGTTTTCAGTAGATTTATCTTAACCTTCCTATAAAACAGTAAGTTCTAAATATGAAAAAAAGGGTTCAGTTGTGATTACATGTAATATAACTTCTTAATTTTACTTTACATTTTATTATTGCTCAGTGGGAATTATGTTTGCTACTGAACAGTGGAAGCTCCCATCTATGAAATTTCCTGTCTTAACCTTAATGAAATCTTCTATGTAAAGCCATCATTACACAGCTAAATTTGAGTTTATATAAATATAGTGGGTCTCAGAAGACTCTCATCCTTGGTATGCTAAATAAATAAAGTTATATGGAATTTAACATGTCAGAATAATGCTGAGTTGCTTGCCTATAAATGTTATTACTCCATTTTATTACTTTACTTTAATGGATCCTGAATAGTGAAGCTTTTTAATTTTAAAAATAACTTCATGTGGGCCAAGGTGCCTCATTTTTAGAAATATTCTCATCCATATATTATTGGTTCTTTTAGCTTTATTTTTTTATTTTATTTTATTTTTTTTTAAAATATATTTTATTGATTTTTTATAGAGAGGAAGGGAGAGAGATAGAGAGTTAGAAACATCAATGAGAGAGAAACATCGATCAGCTGCCTCCTGCACATCTCCCACTGGGGATGTGCCCGCAACCCAGGTACATGCCCTTGACCGGAACCGAACCTGGGACCTTTCAGTCCGCAGGCCGACGCTCTATCCACTGAGCCAAACCGGTTTTGGCGGTTCTTTTAGCTTTAAATGAGCTATCTGGTCTATCAGATAGGAAGTATCAGCTATTAGGATTAAATATGTTATTTTTCTATAAAACACACTGATTTACAAAGCAAACTTACATTAATAACTTGGTTTTTAGTGTTATATTTAGACTGCAAGGTTTTTAAGCAACCACTAATAAGTTAATGAATTGTTAATGAACATTGTCATTTGCAGATGGACAGACATATATGATATGGGCAAATCATAACTGTGTGTGTGTTGTTTTGTTTTTAACAAGAATTATCTATTCGGAGGTGGAACCAAATTTGGTGAATCTCAGTTCATTGGTAATCACACTACTGAGTGCACAAAGGTGCAGATAAACGGTTTTGCCCTAGAGGTGTACTAATTTGCAGTTGGCTTGTAGCTTCAGGAAAGATAAACAAATCATAGGCGAGCTATTTGGCTCACTTATGTCCTGTGACCTTATTGCTATGGTGTTTGAATTCTCTGTAGGAAATGCAGCCTTGACCAGAATTAAATTTTATGACTAAAGTTCTTTCTTAGTGTGTGAGGTTATTATAGTTTAGTTGTGCCTCTCTTACTGGCAGGTGGTGGTTGCAAAGAAAGAACCCGGTGAAATTCTTGGGGTACAGAGCCATTAAGTGGCTCTGTTTGCTTAGGGAGGAGTTACGAGGGTAGCAAATGCAGTGAGCGTAGACCTCAAGAAAAGCCCAACTTCCTGAGAGCATTCTCATTGGAGAGGCAGCTCAAAGGGTAAGGGCTCTGGCTTAAGGCAGAGGGTGTCCAAGGGCATGGACAGAAGTAGGAAGTTGGAGATTAGGGAAGAGCTTGGCATGGTAGTGGTAGTAATAACTGAGATTGTTGAACTTTAACAGTTTTGGCATTTATTTCATAAGTACTTCTGTATTCTTAAATCTGCAAATATCTAAATCTTATCAATTGGAGATAAGTTTTGGTTTTTCTTGTTAAATATAAAGAAAGTGAAATATGTGTGAGTAAATCAAGATCAATAGCCATCGTTCATTTTATTATTTCATTGGTTCTGGCCATGCCCCTTCCTACTTTGAAAATATTCTACGCCTGCTCTAGTTTACACAGTTTCCTACTTTCATGGTCAAAATTTTCTAAAATAAAGTATCCTTGATTTTGGTTTGGATAATTGAAAACTACATTGTTAGAAAAGTATTCTATGAGAACTTGTTTTCCAAACAAAATTGATAGCAAACGGATCCAAGGATTAAATGATAAGAGTAACTATTCTGAGAGTAATCCCACTGAAGGATTACGTCAGTGGCCTTCTGTCCTGTGACTGGTGCCTCGCTGGTACCCTATCAGGTGTGGTTGGAGAACTGAAGGTAGGGAAGCCTTGGTGAACATGTATAGACTGGAAGGGGTGCATGAGTGAGCTGAAGAGAGGAAAGAACTGGATAGTGTCCACGCGAAGGCATTCACACCTGCTCTTTGGTTCGGGCCTGCTCTTAAAGGTGAAGGAATTGTATACCCAGAATTTTTTCTTTTTCTCCAAATGAATACTATTGTCTTAAGAATCACAGGAAAGTTGCATAGTTGGATAAGATAGTTTTGCTTAAATACCTTTGCATATTTGTTCACTATCATAGTGAAGGACAGTTAAGTTTTATAGTTTATATTTGATACTTAGAAGTACTTATGTTGGAAAATAGAGGGAAAAAATGTTTACTGTAAACACATAGCTATGGTGTTTTAAGGAAAGAAGAAGAAGCAATGTTAATCCCACAGAGACTTGGGTGGGAATACAGATCGCCTCTGTTCATAGCCCTTGTCAACTGTTAAATTCAGTGAAAAACATTCTAGTTTTGTCGAAAGTAAACACCAACTGCAGTGTGTGGTCCCCTCTTCCCTGAATGCATGAAGAATGGCATGATGTAGTTCTTCTATGGGTTAAAGTGGGGGAAATTCACTCTAATATTTATACTAGTTATCTTATTATTTATTATCCCTTACTTGCCAATCTTGATTTCTGGTAGTTATGCTACATGGAGAAATTCTGTTTGTTGAAGCCTGAAATACTAAATTAGCTGGTTATAATTTCACCTCTAAAATCACAGATATTTACATTTTTTTAACAGCTAGAACCCTCCACTATGTGTGTTTTTTTCCTCTCCTCAAAATTATAGGCCTTGATATCTAGAGCTTAGCAATATTGGTAACTTTGGAGTAGAGAGAGAGACTTTTTCTACCCAATGCCAGTTCTTCACAGGCAAAGAAACAAACAAAAACAATAGATGATTAAAAACAATATTGCTTAGCTTTTTTTCCATCATCAGGGACTGTTTTAGGTCTAAGATTTAAAAACAACAGGACTCTGGGGTCTTTGCAGTAGAAGATAATTTCTTGGGCTCCTGGGGACAGAACTTTGGAATGTTCTTATTGTGATTAGCTAAGGCCATTGATCAAATTTCATATTGGTAGGCAGAGTGAATAATTATTAATAACTGACTTTTTATTATTGGCCACAATTCAAGGACCTTGTGTCAGTAGCCAGAGCATTATAGAACTAACGTATTTTATAGTGTTAAAAATTAAGTTAATTATCTGAGTTTCTCAAGTTAACTCCAATCCCAAAGGGGAAAAGTTTGAGGAAATGAACCTTTCTGTTTTCAATGACTGTTTATGTAAATAAGTAAATGTTTGTATACTCAACTCTCAATAGATCATATCGGGTTGGTAAATGAGCAAATCTGGAGTCTTGCAGTATCTGTCTTTTTACCCTCATACTGCTATTATTCACTCTTCCCACTGACAGTAGTCAGTCGATGTTGGCTGCTGCGATTTTATGTTTTTCAGCTCTAGATTCTCTGAGTAGAGAAAGGCAAGCCTGATTAGGGGCTGGTAGGATTGGTCAAAAAGTGCCTTTCCTTTAGTTCATATGATTGAGAGTTGCTTGTAAGATGTGCATCTTAATCCATTTCTCTTTTTCCCAAATACCTTTTCTGTAACCCTCTGTGAGCATGATGCACGTCCTTTTTAGATCACTCTTCCGGAGTTTCTTTTTCCACCTAACTGCTCTCCTTGTTCTCTCTCTCTCTCTCCTCCTTTATTCTTATGTAGGCCTGACCAATGATGGCAGTAATGAAAATATTGATTCTCTTGAGGAAGTCGTTAATATTTTAGCAGAGGAAAGTTCAGATTGGTTTTGTAGTTTCCTCTCATTTCTCTATGATATAATGACTCCTTTTGAAATGCTAGAAGAAGCACAAGACGAAGAAGGAGAAGGAGAAGAGGAAGAAGGAGAAGAAGAAGAAAGTGAAACCACAAAAGGTGTTGATGGTATGTCACAGAAGGAAGGGGTTCAGGGAAAGACTTGTATCATTTTGAATTTATTTAACCAGTAATGTTGATTCAGGGACTGAAGTCATTGGCTATGAAAACCGGAAGCAGTCTCCTTTTTCTTTCTTTCCTTTGTTCACCCAGGACTTAATGTGCTGTGGGGCAGCTGCAATCCAACAGCGTCAGGCAACCATATCATCTTTTTTTTTCTCTAGCTAATCCCTTGCTTGGCTTCCCCACTTTAGTGAAGAAACCGGCTTTCCTCATTCTTGTAGTTGTCTACAAAGTGCATTGACAATGATGTTCTTGGTGGTATAATTGGTTTCTGTATTGTTTTGTTTCCACTTATGTATTCACTGAACTAAATTTAGAAAATAGCAAATTGTTTGTGATTAACACTTGATGCTTGTCTTTCTAACATGCTATCAATGGAGATGATTATAATGGACTTGATTATCAGAATATTTCTAGTATGATTCATAAATAAATGCTTCTCTGTTGATCTTTAACATGACTGATGTGTAAAACGATGGTTCTTAAAAACCCTGATGTTTTCAGTTGTAATTGATCTAGGGTAACCAATTTGTCACATAGGTTAATGCCAACTTCAGTGTAAAATTCTGTATCGATGGTGCTTTTAAAATAATTTGAAAATATCCCCATGTTTTGTCCTGAGGGTAGTTAAATTATATATTCAGGTAGTAGTATGTCTGAATATTTCTGTGTATGAAAGCAAAATTTATTTTTAATTTCATTTCTAAATATACATCCAGAGAAAGTAATTTGCATATTTTTAAAAGAAGGCATATTACACAAGAAGGAAAATGTGAATATTATCTTAAATAATATTGTACATATTAAAATTATTCATCTTAAATAAGTCTTTTTCCATTTTTTCCTGTATTACCTTATTAATTGGCTATCAACTTTGGCTTAGGTATAATATGAAGTTTTTTGCTTTTCAAATATTCATTTTCATACTTAATCAAAATTCTTTCAGTAAATGGATTATTCACACACACACACACACACACCCTTTATTTTTTTTCAGAGGGGACTATGACAAATTTAGTGTCTTTGGTAGAAATCATTCTTGTAGGCTCTCAAAATGATAGCCTGAATGTGAGTCTCAAATCAGAACACAGGGAGCACAGTAGCCTCCCATCCGCTCACCACTTGCATGTGTCAGGGAACACTGTCAATTAGCTGATTTTATATTTTCTTTAAAGAAAGCATTATTCTATAGTTACTTTTGGAAGTGGATACACAAAGTTGTATGTTGACAGTGCTCTCCTAAAACTTAAATGGCTATTAAAACTCTGTCTTCCCTAATTCTTCATGGAATATATTTTATTCATTAATGTTTCTGGCAGTCTAAAGCAAGCGTGTCAAACTCAAAGACTAACACGGGCCAAATAAACAAGAATAAACAAGGCATGCGGCCTGCAGGCCACGAGTTTGACATGCGTGGTCTAAAGCTTCTGACTTTGGAATGTTAATATTCAGGAACTAATGAGTGTGATTTAATAATGTCCTTTCTGAAAGTTCATGCAGTGTTTGCCCATACTTAATGGGTCTTCCACTTCGATATGACTGTGAAATATCAAAGTTCATTAGGTTTAAATTCAAAAGCATTCTTTTTTAGGCCTCCTTCTTAATAACATCCATTTAGCCAAATGTCTGAGGGTGTATTTTTTTAAAGCAGTCTTATTTCTTAATGCTTCATTACTACTAACTCTATAAGATGTTTGAACAGTTTATAACCAGTAAATAATTAAATGTGTGTATTTAAAAATATTTGGAATCATTAATTTCTTAACAGACTTTTTTTTTGCATGATACTAACACATATGTACAGAAATTAATTATGCTTTATTTTTGTAAGTGAAAAATAAGGGTGTGAGATCATAATTTGCTGTTTACCTAGTATCCCTTTAATCGGCTCCTTTGAAAGCCTCAGAGGAAGGTAGAATCCAGGCAGCTGCTGAACCCCTGACTTCTGTGACTCCTTCAACTTGTGCCAAAGGCTTATTGTGGTGAGAGAAAATAGCTGTTTGCAAAACTGGTGTAGAGAATTCTGAAGCTGATCAAAATGGCCTCACTTATACTTTCTTTATTACACAGGTTGCGCCCCAAAAATGTAGACACACTTTAACAGCTGATAGCTCAATTGATGTTTATTTGTTTTCAGATTTAACCTATTGGAATTAATAATTATTCAAATTGTGTGTACATTTTTAGGACACCCTACGTATGCTGTAGTTCTTAATTGTCTAAGGATTTATTGTATGCTTTTCTGTTTCATAATATACTTTCCCAGCTTACACTGAGGAACTTACTTTAAAAGGCAAAATTGTATTCTGTACATTGGAATATTCATTTATAGAATTTTAAGTTGTGCTGTAGTTCTCCGCTGTTCCGATTCTGAACAGCCACAGGAACTTTGTGGAGCATGCTCTGTATTCAAATGCAGCGTCTCCTCAGGGCAGCCCTGCTGTTTGTCCAACGGAAAGGCACTGGGTTTCCTGGAGTTTGGCGCAGACATGAGGCAGTGGCACTTGGGGTTGTTTTTTTTCTGTGCTTCAGCTTCTTTCAGCCCTGATTCTCCCTGGGTCATGAGTGGTGGGTGTTGACTTGGAGATGCGTCTTCTACGTGCTGATCTAATTGATTACATTTTGAGGCCTGGCTGCCAGCTTGCTGCCGTGAGACTCATGCAGAGCCTGGGACAAGGTGGGATGCGGGGAGCCCGCCTTTCATCTCGTGCTCCACTCCGTGTTCCGGAAACTGCTTCCCTGTCTCAGAGCTGTGTCCACACATGTAAGAAACCTTTTTCTGCTTGAGTTCTGGTTTGTTTTCCTTTATCATTAGCTACACTGAGCAAAACGTTTCCTTGTCTGTCCTGATGTTTATAACTTGGAAGAATTATCAAAAGCAGATGGAGGCATAGACAGTTATTCTTAATTTGTACAGTCGGCAGTTACACCTTTTCGGGATTCATACTCAGTGACTCTTGCTGAATGAGATTCTGGTTTATAAAACAAGTAAGACATTTTCTGCTGTGGGGCTGTGGAATTTTCTTTGATCACAGTGCATAATTGGAGGTTTTTAATGAAATTCAGGGACTCAGACTATTATCACAAATTGATTGAAACATTCTCTGCCTCGGTTATTTGTTGAGTTAACCACCTATTGCATAGGATAGGTATTAGCTAAACTGAACTCCTTGCAGTTAGGAATCAGGTCTTAGATTTCATTTGAATCTCTCTTCAAAGCTGAGCCTAACATACAATGCTTATTAAATATTTCTGGGGTTAGTTCTGGTGAGTGAGAACCTCAGGAGTCACCCATCCTGCATAATAAAAGCTTAATATGCAGATCGATCGAAACGCAGAACGACTGGTCGCTATGATGCGCACTGACCATTGGGACAGACGCTCAATGCAGGAGCTGCCCCCTGGTGGTCAGTGCACTCCCACAGGGGGAGCACCGCTTAGCCAGAAGCTGGGCTCGTGGCTGGAGCAGCAACGGTGGTGGTGGGAGCCTCTTCCGCCTCCATAACAGTGCTAAGGAGCAGTAAGCAGGTGGGCGGTAAGGAGTGAGGGTTCCCGGAGTGTAAGAGGGCACAGGCTGGGCTAAGGGACACCCCCCTTCAGTGCACAAATTTTGTGCACCAAGCCTCTAGTTGTATAATAAAACACTTGGTGTTTCTTTCTTTCTTTCTTTTTTAAACCAGTTTAAATAAGTGAAACAATTATTGGACATATTTTTTTTTAGAACAAATGACCTTTTGAAGTTCACACAAACTGACCTATGCTAACAGAGGTCTTCAGGTGATCTTCCTGATATTTCATTTGTATTTGAATCTGCTTTTTATCTTTATTCAAACTCTGGCTGTAATCCCTTTCTAAATCTAGTCTTTCAGTTCTGTTATATTCTAATCCTCCCTTCCGTACTTATCATAGAAGGTTGTGAGGTTTACAGCTTCCTTTTTTAAAAACAAATGTCTGTGATAACATAGATGTACCAGCTATTTAAAAATATGAAGGAAATTGGTGTAGTGATATGCATTTTACCAAAAGTAGACATCCGTTCTAGAGCAACAGTCTCTCTAGTTCACGGGACCTTTACTGAGGTGTTTGGGCCTCTTTTTGCTATCTTTAGTCAATGTTGGAATAAATTAGGATGCTTCAGTATGGAAAGGAGGAAGATGAGAAGCTGAGGATCAAAGTGACTCACAGGGGCTGTGGGAGTGACTGAAATGGCCTAAGTATAAAGTGATACCCGGCCTATGAATTCTGTGGCCAACTCTGAAATTCTGCAGTAGGTTTCTGTAATGGAACCCGTCTTCTAAAATTATATCTATCGCATGTGTGGGAGCCCAGGTCCAACCATTGGCTTGACTGAGCATTGTAATTTCATACAGAACATTTCATGTGGCACTGAGATTATTGCCAAAATAATATTATTACCTTTAGGCAACTCCTTCATGTTCTAAGGGAAGAAGATTAGACTTTTCCCCAGATAGTCAACAGTAGTCACTTAGAAACCGTCAGAGTAAACATATAGGACAAAAAGGAAGTAAACAACATGGTGATTTTTTTTTTTTGTCCTTCTCTTTGTAACCACATCCTAATGCTTCTTTGATGACTGCTTTCAATGGAAATAGATTCTATCCATAAAAGAACTCTTACCCAAATGGATTACAGAATTCCTTGTCAGTCTCTAATTGATATAATGTTCTCCATACTACTTGGAAATCATTTTTAAGGAGTTATTGTATTATCATGAATTTTATTTTTGATGGGATTGCTCCTATTTTCCCCCTGGAAAAATAGGGTGCACTTGCTGATTGTTGACCCTGTAAAGAGACTTCACATCCGCCATAGTTACAAATGATAAAAGATTAATTTTTTAGGCAAAATATAAAGCAACGTCTTACATACATGCCTTGTGCTTTTTTCTGGGGCCACTTCTCTACTCCCCACATTTGTAATTTTTC